AGGTTTCTGTTGATAGACATTTAAATGTTTTGGGTTTGTTGCTCTTCAAATGGTGTTTTGCTGCTGGAGCATGTGATTCAGATTGCTTTCTCAGTTCTGTCTTGTGCTTGGCTGACTCTGAGGAGGAATCCCGAAGCAAATTCTCTCTTTCTGTTCCTCAGCTTTTCTGGGCTGTAAAATAAGAATGTTAAATAATTTCTTTTGTTATAATATGTGTGAGGGCATGCATAATTTCTGCTTATAGCTCATAAACTCTTTGGAAACAAGTACTCTTTAAATATAAAGGTTACTTACCCCCTGCCCCTCTGATTATTCCAGTTAAATTGGCTTCTGTTTCTATTGCTGTGGTCCCTGTGTTATTCCCACCTACACATTTTTGAGGTTGCTACCACAGCAGTTATCTGTCAGATGAATATGCCTTGTCAGTTATGGTGTGTTTTGTTGTTGTTGTTGTTATGGAGTGTTTTGTTGTTGTTGTTGTTCTGTAAGCAGACAATCCAGAGTACTGGTTAAGAGGGAGAACTATGGAGTCTTAACTGCTTGCTTTTAAATCTTAGCTTAAGCACTTTACTTACTGTGTGACATTGGCAACTTAACTGTCTGGTACTGGCTTTATAATCTAAAAAACTATGAGGGTAGAGCTATTATGATCCTCATTTTATATTTGGTGAAACTTGGGCTTGGGGAGATTAGGTTTAGAAGCATGAGTAAATAAAAGAAATACACGAACGTCTATCTGTTCATTTTGTACTTTTGACAGAGACTTGGGCACAAAAATATAGTTCTCTAATTAGTATAAGATACACTAGAGGCCAGGTGCACGAAATTTGTGCACTGTTGGGGGGGTGTCTCTCAGTGCAGCCTGCACCCTTTCCAATCTGGGACCCCTCAGGGGATGTCTGACTGCCAGTCTGGTTGCCCCCAACTGCCCTCCCCTGCCAGCCTGATTTCGCCCCCCCCACTACCCTTCCCTGCAGGCCTGGTCCCCCCCAACTGCCCTCCCCTGCTGGTCTGGTTGCCCGCAACTGACCTCCCCTGCTTCCCTGATCTCACTCCCAACGGCCCTCCCTTGTAGGCCTGATCTCATCCACAACTGCCCTCCTTTGCCAGCCAATTTGATTCTGATTGGTCAGTTTCTATGCCAGTAATTGTCTCTGGGCCTATCAACGGGGCCTGATCAGAACGGCAGGGCTGATTAGTAGCCCAGGTGGAGGATTGGAGAGAAATGGAGGTATGGCTGCTGTCCAGGCCCTGAGCTAAAGAGAGAGGCAAGTGCTGATCAACAGCTGCCACAGAGGCTATGGATCAGACCCTGCTTCTCTCTTTAGGCCTCTTTCTTGGCCTGATTCACAGCCCCCTCAGCAGTCAGTGCTGGGTCACTGTGCCTGCAGCCATAGCAGTCAGCTGCCATGACAACTCAGCGCTGACTTCAGGTTGGTCAAGACTCCTGGTTGTTGCAGATGTGATGGACCCAGGGTTTTTATATATTAGGATAGTAGTAAAAGCAGTAATAAGTCTCTGACCTGTGGCCTCAGTGTTGGGGGAAACAATAAGAGACTATGTAGAACTAAAGTCCCTACAGGGTAAAACAAACTACTTTGTGTCATTTTTCATTAAAATAAAACAACAAAAACTGAAACCTCTGTTTTAATGATCTTAAGCTTTAAGAGATACAGAATTTAGCCAAAACCAGTTTGGCTCAATGGATAGAGTGTCGGTTTGGGGATTGAAGGGTCCCGGGTTCGATTCTAGTCAAGGGTATGTACCTTGGTTGCGGGCATATCCCCAGTAGGGGGTGTGCAAGAGGCAGATGATCGATGACTCTCTCTCATCGATGTTTCTAACTCTCTATCTCTCTCCCTTCTTCTCTGTACAAAATCAATAAAATATATTATATATATAAAAAAAAGAGATACAGAATTTAGATAACCTTACCCCAGGCCAGAGAAAACTCAGACTTGAAATAGGTAAATTATAAACACAGAACACTGTGGACTTAGGGAGCATCTAATAGACAATGAAATACTTTCAAGGAGGAGACAGAACTTGATTTTGATCATCAATGGAAGGGAGGGTCCTTCCCATGATCCTCTCCTTCCTCTTCACCATCCTTCCTGCTCCCCGGCGGCCGCAGCCATGAAGGTCAAGCTGTGCAGCTTCAGTGGCTACAAGATCTACCCCGGACACGGGAGGCGCTATGCCAGGACCAACGGGAAGGTGTTCCAGTTTCTTAACGCAAAATGCGAGTCGGCATTCCTTTCCAAGAGGAATCCTCGCTAGATAAACTGGACTGTGCTCTACAGAAGGAAGCACAAGAAGGGGCAGTCGGAAGAAATTCAGAAGAAAAAAACCCGCCCTGCAGTCAAATTCCAGAGGGCCATCACTGGTGCATCTCTTGCTGATATAATGGCCAAGAGGAACCAGAAGCCTGAAGTTAGGAAAGCTCAGAGAGAGCAAGCTATCAGGGCTGCCAAGGAAGCAAAAAAGGCTAAGCAGGCATCTAAAAAGACAGCAATGGCTGCTGCTAAGGCTCCCACAAAGGCAGCGTCTAAGCAAAAGATTGTGAAGCCGGTGAAGGTTTCTGCTCCCCGTGTTGGTGGAAAACGCTAAGTTGGCAGATGAAATTCTTAATAAAGACCTAACTATAACTAAAAAAACAACAACAAACAAACAAACAAACAAAAAACATGGAAGGAAGAAGGAACTCAAGAAACAAAGGAACTAACTTCAAGAATGAGTATGATTTGACCAATGCATCTTCTAGTATGTTTTTTAATTAGTATTAGAGAAAATACATTTACGGCAAAAAGTCAAATATGTTTATGGCAAAAACATTTCCTCAGATGAGGATTAAAAAAAAAAAAAAAAAAACACCGTAGGAAAGAAAAAGATCTAGTGATTTAATGGCTGTGTGGAGTGGTACTGAATGGAGGAGGGGAGGCAGAGGTATAAAGCTTCCTATGGTTTGTTGTCTGTGTTAGCTCCTATTTGTAACCTAAAATTTTATTAGGAATATAATATAGGCTTGTAATAAAAAGTCAAGTATAGGAAGTATAAAGTATAAAAAGTCAAGTATAAAAAGTAGCATAGGAAGGTATAAATTAAAACATAAAAATTTCTCAACATTATATACCCAAAAGAATCAAAAGTAGGGAGTTAAACAGATATTTGTCTTAGCAAAGTCACTTTATCCTCTGTAGGTTTCTGTTTTTGGTCAAAATGGTTTTTGAAAAAAGATGTGACCAACTTCTCAATTCACTAACAAAATTGTTCAGGAAATTAAAATAGTAAATGGGAAAGCGCTGCACATTATTTTGTTTTATAAAATATACTTTATTGATTTTTTTACAGAGATGAAGGGAGAGAGATAAAGAGTTAGAAACATCGATGAGAAAGAAATATTGATTAGCTGCCTTCTCTCCTGCACACCTCCTACTGGGGATGTGCCTACAACCAAGGTACATGCCCTTGACCAGAATCAAACCTGGGACCTTTCAGTCTGCAGGTTAACGCTCTATCCACTGAGCCAAACCGTGCTGCTAATTATTTTTAAATGCAGTAGAATAGAACAAAAGAAAGAGAATTAGGAAGGAATTTTCATCCGGAATGGAATACCCACATCTTAACCAAGGTCAGAGGCTTCTCAATGCAGCCTTCGGGACCCTGCCATTCACCCTGATCTCTCTGTTCTCTGAAGTAAAAAATAAATTTTTAAAAATTTAAATTCACTTTTAGCCCTGGCTCTGGTTGGGTGTTATTTTGTGGATCAAGAGGTTGTGGGTTCGAACTCCTGTCAGGGCGTATGCCTGGGTTGCAGCTCGATCCCCAATATGAGAGCATAGGGTGAGCTCCTTGCGTGGGAGGCAACTAGCCAGTGTTTCTTTTTTTCTCTCCCTCCCTCATCTTCTCCCATTCCCTTGCTTCCTCTTCTTCCATTTCTCCCTCGGTTCCTCTCTAAAATCAATGAAAACATTTCCTCAGATGAGGATTAAAAAAACAAACAAAAAACAACACCATAGAAAAGAAAAAGATCTAATGATTTAATGGCTGTGTGGAGTGGTATTGAATGGAGGAGGGGAGGCAGAGGTATAGAGCTTCCTATGGTTTGCTGTCTGTGTTAGCTCCTATTTGTAACCTAAAATTTTATTAGGAATATAATATAGGCTTGTAATAAAAAGTCAAACAGTCAGTGCCAAATATAAAAAGTAAAAGTAAAACCCTCTAATCTGTCCTCTACCTCTTTTTTTAAAATCTTATTTCCTGAAGTAGTAGCCACTATTAACACCACTGTTGACAGTCTGTAGTTTATCTTCTAGACATTTTTAATGTGTCTGCAAATATAAAGAATATATAGAACATATATATTCTTATTCTCTAGAAGCTGGCTCACATAGTGTAATATTGCTCATCTAATTCAGACTGTTGAGAGCTAGTTATGTAGAGGAAAGAGTTGGACTGAGCTTCATGAGATCTGGGTTCTGTCTAGGTTCTGCTCCTGTGACATGCAGTTCCTTAGTTGTCATTTGTATGGTGTCCACAGTCAATGAGATCACATCAAGGCGAGTGCTTTGAAAACTAGGGTGCTACAAATATTTAATGCCTTTTGTAACAAGCACTAGAGACCAAACTAAGGTTGTGTTAGACTCCCTCCACCTCCCCCAAAAAAGATATTAGTGAAGGATTTTATGTAGTAAATGAAGAAATATTTATGTTCTCTGGAAAGTCAGGAATGGGGTGAATTTGAGGTTTTCAGTATCTGTACTTATATCTTTCCATTTCTGTATGTCCAAGATTTAATTCCTGGGGAAACATGAGTGGCTTAGGGGTGATGTCTATTGATGGTTAAGGGGATCGAGTCTTGGGTTTATGTTACCCCATCAGAATTTCTCGGGGTTAAGGAGATGCAGTTTTGGAAAGAATGGGATGCAAGGCTGGCAAAACTAAGTCTCAGCCTTGAGATATCAGCTATTTTAACCCTGAATTCTTACTCCCCGTTTAAGGAGGAGATGATCGCCGGGTTCTGCTATGGCACATGGAACAAGCTATCCACTCCAGAGTCAAGCCCATACAGCTTAAAGGAGAGCATCATTCTAACATTTTCTGCCTGGCTTTCAACAGTGGGAACACCAAAGTATTCTCTGGAGGTGAGAAGAAGGGAGATTTCCACATTGGGAAGATTCATTGGGGCCGATATTTTACATAAAGGAATGCTTATTTTCCTTTGTTGTTCTGTGCAATTCCTATTTTCCCTAGCCTGTCTTCTCTGCATTACAGTAATTTAGACATGTGTATTAGAGTAACTCCTCCCTCCTCCCCTCCCTGCATCCCTTCTTTCCTTCCTTTCTTCCTCCCTCCCTTCTGCCTTCTCTCCTTTCCTTCTGTTCTTTTGCTCTCATTATTTCTCTCTTTTTTGGTAGAAAACTCTTTACATTGCAATCTGTTACACAGAAACACACACACACACACACCTATTTAAAATAGTACTTAACCTTACTATGTGTGGTGCATTCTAGTTTTTTTTAATTATTATTATGTTCTATTTCACTTTTAAAGATTTTAAAGTTTGTGACTCAAGTCAGTCTTCTGACCTATGAATGGCTCCCATTTGAAAAACATTGTTCTAGGGTATAATTGGAGCACAAGCCAGCCTCAGAGTGAAGGTTTCCATCAGCCATACATACTCCTTTCTGACCAGCACATTTCTAGCCCTGACCTCTCTGCACTGCAGATTTCCCTATGTGTTCCAGAAGCAATTTAAATGCAATAGATCTAAAATCAAGATTATTAGTTATCCTCTCCTGCACAAGTATTCCTCTTATTCCCTGGACTTCCTTTCTCAGTTGTTATTCCCATTTATCTACTTATTTATGCTGCTTGTTTTCACTTTAAGCAACTGCTACCCGGCCTGTTTGGCTCAGTGGTTGCGTGTTGACCTATGAACCAGGTCAGGACACTTGCCCAGATTGCCCGGGCTGTGGACTCAATACCCAATGAGGGTATCCAGGAGGCAGCCAATTGATGATTCTCTCTCATCATTGATCTTTCTCTTTCTCTTTCTCTCTCTCCCTTCCTCTCTGAAATCAATAAAAATATATTTTTTTAAAGGAAAAAAAAAAGACACTATTGACATTGAAGCTTTTTTAACTTACAGAAATGACAATTTCACATAGTTCAGCTTAATGGAAACCTTGAAGTCATTCTTAAACATGCCTTTCATTTACACATTCAGTTAGTCAATGGCTAGACTTGAAAGCCTCTTATTCATTCTTTAGTTTCTGTTCTCTTCCTGTACCCACTGCTCTGATTCAGGTCCTCATCTTTGGCCTGGATGATTGTAATGTCCTCCTGTCATTTCTCTTCCCGTCTTTAACCCTTCTTCTAATTCTTAGCTTATACAAATTTTCTTTCAAAAATAAAGGTTTTTTCTTTTCTTTTATTGAATTTATTGGGGTGACATTGGTTAATAAATTTATATGGGTTTCAGGTGTATAATAGACATCATCTGTATATTGTATTGTGTGTTCACTACCTCAAGTCGAGTCATCTTCATCACCATTTATCCCTTCCTATACCTTCTATCTCCCCCACCCTCCTTTCCCTTAGATAATCACTCTACTGCTACCTTTGTTTATGAACTTAACAATAAAGGTATAACCATGTGAATTTTACTATAGTGTCCATAGGAAAATGTCTAAACCCTAGTTTTCCTCTGGCCTCATCTCCTTGCTCTTGCGTCTTGTACTCTAGTCCACTAAACCACTTACCATTTTATTATAGATGCCCTTGTGCCTTTTGCTCATGCTCTTCCTCCATGGGTTATGATTATTTGTCCAGTTCCCAACAGTTTCCCTAAGTCTACCATTAGTAAGAGGGTTAAATATATATTTTATTGATTTTTTACAGAGAGGAAGGGAGAAAGATAGAGAGTTAGAAACATCGATGGGAGAGAAACATCGATCAGCTGTCTCCTGCACACCCCCCACTGGGGATGTGCCCACAACCAAGGTACATGCCCTTGACCGGAATCGAAAGTGGGACCCTTGACTCCGCAGGCTGACGCTCTATCCACTGAGCCAAACCGTTCAGGGCCATTAGTAAGAGTTTTGAATAATTTGAAATTGTCTCCTTCTCCATAAAAACATTCGTCCCTTCTGCCATGCACTTTCACCCTGCTCATGAGGGAAATAATTGTTGCTTTATCTGTGTCCCCATTTGAAGCATATTGATACAAGATATCCTATCTTGTACACTGTTAATTATTTGTGCAGTTGGACTGTGAATTCCTCAAGGCTGAGCAGAATCTTATTCTTCTCATATCCCCAGCACCTTGGCAGTGCCTGTTGCCTGAAAGGCATTAATTAGTATGAGTTTGATTCACTTGATATGCACCCACAAGAGAGTTTATAGCCAGAGATTTAAGATGGTCAAGGCCATTGCTAACTTTACTTTTAATTGTGCTTTCAGCACAAAATGGGAAGTTTTTTACTTTCTGTCTTTTCATATTTAGGTTATTATTATTATTTTTTTTTTGCTATGTAATCTAATTGAAGGTAGCACTACACATAATCATGAATGTAGTGTTTTTAGATTTCTTGATGGTATTAAAAAATGCAAGAGACAAAAGTTGTGGATAAAAACTTTGCCATTATTTAGAATCATATAGTCATCAAATTTTAATGCTATTGGTGAGGATGTGAATAGTTGCAAACATCTGTTGGGGACTTATTAAGTGCTCAGCCCTATTCTGAATGCTTTTACAAATGTGCTCTTATCCTCACAATAAACCTATGAAGTAGGTACAATTATATGTATTTTGCAGATAAAAAACAGGCATCAAAAAATCACAAATACTGTTTAGGGTCTCACAGTTAATGAGTGTTTGCTTAAAAAAAAAAAAGAAATAAAAAAAGCTAGCTTGAATTGATTTGCTAGTGATCATTTATTTTTTTTCTTAATGGCCATAGATTTTTTTATTTTTTTATTTTTTTTACATTGTCCACTGGATAATACATTTTGGAAACTGTTATAATTAGTTGCTATTATGCTTTTTAAAAGAATGCCTTATTCTTAAATTATTTTTATAAATATTTTTGTAATTAACACTTCTAATTTGTACTAACTTTTACTTTGTTCACATTTAATTTTCACTGAAAATCTTAAAATACTAAATTATAATATGGACAGGAATCACTTTGTAGGAATGATCAATTATCTGTTTTTTTTTCTTACAGGAAATGATGAGCAAGTTATCCTCCATGATGTTGAAAGGTAAATAAATTGTTGCTATGAGAAGGTGATTGATTCTGTTTTTCATATGAAGAGAGGCAAATATTTCTTTAGATGACAGTAGTTTTAGTTTTCTGAGAAAAAAAAACTAACAAACCATGAAATCAGCTTTCCTTCTTTTGAAGAAAATTCCTGTAATAGTTTTGAAATAAATTATTGATTAAAAAAGAGAAGAAAATTTGCAAAGTTGGTATGAAGTACAGCTTTTAGGAGAAAATCTAAAAGGATAGTTGGAAGGGAAGGAAACATAATAATAATTTATAATAATAATAATGGCTAATATTTATAAGTGCTTTGTATGTATTAATAAATTTAATCCTGCCCTAGCTAGTTTGGCTCAGTGGATAGAGCATCAGTCTGGGACTGAAGGGTCCCAGGTTTGTTTCTGGTCAAGGGTACATGCCTGGGTTGCAGGCTCAATCTCCAGTTGGGGGCAAGCAGGAGGAGCCAATTAATGATTCTTTCTCATCATTGATGTTTCTTTACCTCTTCCTTCTCTGAAATCAACTATATATATATGTGTGTGTGTGTGTGTGTGTGTGTGTGTGTATATATATATATATATATATATATATATGATAAATTTAATCTTTACAATAACTCTATGAGGCTATACTATTATGGTCTCAATTATAGATAAGGAAACATAAAGTCATGTAGTGCTAGGATCTGAACTTAGGTAACCTAACCAAGAGTTCTTATTCACTGTGCCAGACAGCCAGTAGATCCCTCTTTTACCCAGCTGGCATCAGGCCTGGATGCTTTAAAGTTTTCCTTTGCTTTTTGGAAATCAAAGGAATCTGTACACAAGCAGATGCATTCTGTAGTAAGTGAATACACAAAACTTATCTGTTTAGTCGCTTTTAAATAAATGTTCATTTAGCACCAAAAGCAACTTACTATGAAATCTATAAAAAATCTCTTTAATGTATTTTTTCACCTGAAAGTTGAATACCTACTATTATTATTACTATTATTATTATCATTATTATTAATCCTCACCTGAGGACATTTTCCCATTGATTTCTAGAGAGAATAGAAGGGTAGAAGGGAGCAGGAGAGATGAGAGAATCATCGATATGGAAGAGACACATCAATCAGTGTCCTCCCACAGGTGCCCCAGCCAAGACTAGGGATTGAGCTTGCAACCTAAGTATGGGAGTCCTTGACTAGAATTGATCTTGAGACCCTTCACTCCGCAGGCTGACGCTCTATCCACAGAGCAAACCGGGTAGGGCTTGATTACCTACTTTTAAAGGAAATATAATACTCTTTGGGTTTAGTTAAATTGACTTTCTCCTGGAAATGAACTAGAATAGAGGTTTGGGAGTCTAGCTGTTTGTGTGTATGTGTATATGTGTGCTTCTCTCTGTTCTCTTGTCTCTCAGCAGCGAGACCTTGGATGTGTTTGCTCACGAAGATGCAGTATATGGCTTGTCAGTAAGCCCAGTGAATGACAACATTTTTGCCAGCTCCTCAGATGATGGCCGGGTTCTCATCTGGGACATCCGGGAGTCTCCCCATGGAGGTAGGGTCACTTGCAAAATGCTGTTGGATTGTGTTGAAGGGCTTAATATCAAGTTCATTGCAGATCCAGTTTATGACCCGAGTAACCTGGGTGGGAGTGGTTTAAAGGGAGAGGAAACTCTCACATAGGGGAATAGATATGTGTTTCTAAGGTTCCACCTTACCCCTAAGTAGTCAGAAGTGAAGCCCCTTGCCAGTTCTTTCCAACCACAAACCCTTGAACCCATAGAATAAACATGGCAGTATCTTGGTGTTTAGTGGCCCCAAAAGAACAGAAGATGTGGTGCTTCATTGTGGAGCTTAGCAAGCACGGGCCAGCTGTGGGTGTGGCTCTGGCATGTACACATTCTTTGTTATTTACGGAAAAGGGGGTGTTAGGCACTTTCTTGAATCCTGATTTCAGGGGCTTGTTATTTTGCTGAAAGAACCACAGAACCTCACCTTCACTGTGTATAAGAACTTCAAATAATGGCACATACACTGTTTACAGGGGCTTATCTGGGTGAGTTCCTCCTCCAAATGTTTTCTTTGAGTCTCTGGAGTATAAAATGAAGACATGAATGTTGAAGTTCTCCGAAGTTCTTCGGGGATGCATCTTTTCAGCTCATTTTCTGCAGAGAGATTTCTCTCTCTAACTGTGCCTGTCTTCAAAGGCTCTTTGCTCCAGTGCCATCCCTACCCCACTCTTGGTGCAGCTTTGTCATGATTGCACCTGTGCACATAGAGTTACTTTCCTGCATGCTTTGTCTGACAGGATATGGGTGTTTTTATTTTATATTCTGAGCATTTAATATGCTGGGAATGTTAAATGCCCATTATTGAAGCTTGCAGGTAAGGTAGCTGCAAGCAGCAGGTGAAATTTATCTTTATCTGAGATACCTGCTGGCTGAGATGACTGATTGTCCCACCTCCAGCCCTCATCCCTGTGAAGTGTCACATATGGAAATTACAGACAGGAATGCTTCCTATTGCTTCTAAACAACTTCCACAAGAGTATATTTTCCTAGGTGGCAAGTAATTCCTTCCTCACTTGGAGCCAGCTAATATATTGAGAGGGCTACATGATTTCTAGGTGAAGTTGATCAGGAAGGAAAACTGTACTATTATCTTAATTTTTCTCATTGTTTTACAGTGCTTTCATTAATTTTTTTTATAGCTTAAAACTTTTTTTAAAAATGTTCTTACTGATTTAGAGAGATAGAGAGAGAGAGAGAGAGAGAGAGAGAGAGAGAGAGAGAGAGAGAGAGAGAGAGAGAGAGAGAAACTAATCAGTTGCCTCCCACATGCACCCCAGGGGCTGGGGACCAAACCTGCAACCTAGTCATGTGCCCTGACTGGGAATCGTACCAATGATCTTTCAGTGCATGGGACAATGCTCAACGAACTGAGCCACTCCAGCCAGGAAAAACTTTTAACTTTTAAAACTCATAAATTTGAATTAGGGCATAATAATCCTACCCTGTTTCCCCGAAAATATTAATTTTTCCTCCCAAAGATGTGCTAGGTCTTATTTTCAGGGGATGTCTTATCTTTCCATGTGCTAGGTCTTATTTTCGGAGATGTCTTATTTTCGGGGAAACACGGGTACTAGTTAATTGGTTGTGAATTTTTTCAGCTTATGTGGAATTCAGTTTTACTGTAATGCAGCTTACTTACTATTTACAGTGACTATTCCTGTTGTATTACATAATCTGAATAGATACTATATGAATTTTTGAATATTATAGCTTAAAGTTTGTTTATATGCATTTGAATTGCTTTTTCTATGTGTAGAAAGTGTGTGCTAGGACTTATGGGAACCTTGTGAGTAAGGGTGACCAAGTTGGGGTTCTGGCCCATTGGTGTGGTTATGAAAGGGTTGTCTTCCTGCCCCTGGCCCAAAGGTGCCTGAAATGGACTGATAGTAGTTTTTTTCTTCACAGAGCCTTTTTGCCTGGCAAACTATCCATCAGCCTTTCACAGTGTCATGTTTAACCCTGTGGAGCCCCGGTTGTTGGCCACAGCTAATTCAAAGGAAGGAGTGGGACTCTGGGATATTCGAAAACCTCAGAGGTGAGCTTCTTTCTCCACTTCAAGTCTCAGGTAATGTGATCAGCCAACAAAGGTTGAGAGAACCTGTTTGGCAGTTGGTCTCAGTTGGACACCTAACGTGAACTAATATCTCTGCAGTCAGAGGAGCCATGATCCCAAGGGACGGCCGTGTGAGAAATCACACCCCTTGCTGAGGAGGAGTCTCACTCTGGGAAGATCAATTCTAGGCAATTAATGATGCAGTAGTGAGAGCCTCCTTCAGCCCTGCCTTCTATCTTCAGCCCAGTTTTCCCCAGATGCCTGAGAACTTTTGCTTTTTTATCTCGTTTACTTACATGTTTCCAATGTTGGTACATCCTTGTCTGAAGTCACTCTCCAAAGGGAACCACAGTGAATCGTTTCTTTTATTTTCTTTCTTTCTTTCTTTCTTTCTTTCTTTCTTTCTTTCTTTCTTTCTTTCTTTCTTTCTTTCTTTCTTTCTTTCTTTCTTTCTTTCTCTTAATATATTTTATTGATTTTTTTTACAGAGAGGAAAAGAGAGAGATAGAGAGAAACATCAATGAGAGAGAATCATCGATCAGCTGCCTCTTGCACACCCCCTACTGGGGACATGCCCGCAACCAAGGTACATGCCCCTAACCGGAATCGAACCTGGGACCTTTCAGTCCACAGGCCGACACTCTATCCACTGAGCTAAACTGGTTTGGGCGAATTGTTTCTTATGTATCTTTTTTGGAATATAATTTACTTCATATACTGGCATATAGTATGTCCTTAAAAACTGTAGACTAAAGGAATCATGTAATAATGCACACTATTTTCAACTCCTATCCCCCTCATTAATAATATATATTGAAGTTTTACATATATCAGCACTTACAGACCTAATACATTCTTTTAATGGCTACATGCTATTCCATTTATATGATAAACCCAACAATCAGGGGTTTTTGTTATAGACAGTGCTGCTTTGCACTGCTTGCACATCTACTTGTCCTATTTTTGCAGAAATAACTGTAGAGAGTAGCTGTATCAAAGGGGGTGTGTTTCTACGTTTTTCATGAAATTTTCAAATTGTCCTACCACCACCAAAGATTGTACTGGTTTATAAGGCCACCAACTGTGCATAAGACTACATGTTTCTCTAGACTCTCACCAACACTTAAACTGTTGCTAGAATATAGGGGGGGCGGAATATTACCTTGTTTTGATTGTTTCTTCTGTAATGGGTGAGGTTATATGGTTTCTTTGGTACCAATAGTTTTCAAAGCCCATATGGGAGAAAAGTCATCTAATAAGGTGAATTTGCAATCTTGATAAATTCCTTTCTGATAAGCAGAGGCGCACAGTGCTCTGAGGACATGGATGTTTTTACCTGTTTCTTTAAACTCTTCTGAGATTCTGTGTGATTTTATGGGTATGAAGCAGGAAAGGGGCATGAAATACTCTTGGGTTCTTGGAGTTCTGTTTTTCATCCATTGGTATTTTGGAATTAAATTACAGATCTCCATTTGAATTCTCTCAGTACATGTTGATGTGGGGGAAAGAAGAAAGAGCCTTTTGTATTTTCTATGCAGGACTCATTATGTTGAGTTGCAATACATGTTTTGTCTCCTAGTAAACAAAGCTACCTCAAAAGTCCAACCCAGATCTTAGGGCAATTCTGAATCCCCTGGGAGGATAAGCTGAACCTGATAGGTCTATTTAAGAGATTCTTAAAGTCTAGGGAAAGATGTTTGCTCTTGCCTGATGGCTCTGCTGGTTGGAGCATCATCCTGTACATCAGAGGGTTGCAGGTTCAGTTCCTGGTCAGGGTACATGCCTAGGTTGCAGGTTTGATCCTGGGTCCTGGCATATATAGGAGGAAACCATCTCCCTCTCTCCCCTCTCTCCATCCTTCCCTCCCTCCAAGCACATCCTCAGGTGAAGAGTGTAAAGAGAAAAAAAAATGTCTAGGGAAAGATTTTAGGGAATTTACTAAATTATGGTAAAATGTGTGTGCTTGTGTATCTGAATGAGTACACATAACATCCCCTCATTCCCCAAGGACAAGGAAAGAGAATTTATTAGGTCTCATAGAGACCCTTGACACTCCCAAGAGGATAAGAGTCACTGGTGTTCTAAAGATTCTAGATTTAGAGCTTATTGTGGTTCCTTAGTAGGCTAATAAATGATTTCTAGCTTGTAAAAGGTTGGGTATGTGAATAAATTCTGGGCCTCCTGGAAACAAATGTAATCACCAAGGATTAATAAGGAGGCCTCACAGCAAACACTGTTCCGCTCCCTACACACACACACACACACACACACACACACACACACACACACACACACACGTCCCGGCTTAATCTACGGATTATTCTATACTGGAATGGTTTCTCTGACCTACCCCAAGCCTAAGCTATACTTCCCTACCTTAGCTTGGTAAACGATAGAAGTGTGAGCAGGGTTATGTTTTTGTTACTATTGCTTTGAAGTAAACTATTTAGCGGGTTTCCTGGTAGATTAAAAATGCCAGCTCTAGAAGGAAGTTTAGTTATCATTTGATCTGACTTCCTCATTGTACAGATCTAGCCCAGCAAGGCTGAGGAGCTTCTTAGTTTAGGGCAGTGGTTCCCAACCTTTTTTTTGGCCATGCCCCACCTAAGCATCTCTAAAATCCTGGTTACCCTCCGCCCCTCCCCCACTCCCCATCCCCCCCCCCCCCGTCCTCGTGACATAATACTCTTTTTTAAATATATATATATTTTATTGATTTTTTACATAGAGGAAGAGAGAGGGATAGAGAGTTAGAAACATCAATGAGAGAGAATCGTCAATTAGCTGCCTCTTGCACACTCCCTACTGGGGATGTGCCTTCAACCAAGGTACATGCCCTTGACCGGAATCGAATCTGGGACTTTTCAGTTGCAGGCTGACGCTCTATCCACTGAGCCAAACCGGTTTCGGCGACATAATATTCTTAACATTCAAAAAGTGAACTATTCACATGGAGGATGGCCATTAACTTAGTCTAAACAAGCTTCCAAAGAACATGGCATCCATGAAAGAGAAAAATAAAAGAATGAAAGGACAGTTGAAGTACTGAGGAAGAAATCACTAAAAATTGTTTTTAAAAAAATGAAGTGATATAAAAAAAATAGAAAATAGCCAAAACTGGTTTGGCTCAGTGGCTAGAGCGTTGATCTGTGGACTGAAAGGTCCTGGGTTCGATTCCGGTCAAGGGCATGTACCTTGGTTGCAGGCACATCCCCAGTAGGGTGTGTGCAGGAGGCAGCTGATCGATGTATTTCTCTCATTGATGTTCCTAACTCTATCTCTCTCCCTTCCTCTCTATAAAAAAAAATCAATAAAAATATATATTTCTTAAAAAATAGAAAATAAAGTTTCAAATCATATAATAGAGAACTGAAATACATAAATATATCACAATATATATTTATTCCTATTTTAATGATAAGAAAGACACAGAGAGGTAAAATAACGTGTGTGTGTGTGTGTGTGTGTGTGTGTGTATCATATTCCCACCCTTTTTTAATCAATTAGTGTCCCTGTACATTCTAGTGTTTTTTTTGTTTGTTTGTTTTTTTAATCTGGACCTTCTTGCAATAGAACTTTGTAAGAATTCCTCTTAGGCTTTTTAATGCAGACCAGTTCAGCTCTGAAGTTGGTCTACCTCTAAGTCCTTTAGAATTTGTACCTCTAAAAGTTAAATTTCTTTTTTACTGTCTCCTGGCCCAGTCCCTGTCTGCATGCTGGCTTTCCCGGTTTCTTGCTCTTCTAACCCTGGAAACCTGCACATGCTATTAATCTTGCTGCAAAGCTTTAGAACAGAGATTGTAAATTAATTGTCCTATAGGCCAGAGTCAACCCACAGAAATATTTTGTTTGGCCACCATGATGTAATAATGTTTGGAAATTTACACAGAAAAATCATGATTTTTAACATCTCTTGAAAAAGTCAAAAGATGTGTTACCATTGGATCTTTATTCTCACGTGACAACAGTCTGCTGAAGCTAAGTCATGAATTCCTCTTTAAACCTTTAGGATGGGTCATGGGTCTCACCACTTCTTGATGTCTGAATCCAAGTGTGCTTTTCTCATTTACATTACTTTCCTGGCAAAGATCTGCTTTAGCAATTTTAGTGATCAATGAGTAGGCCATGACGGGTGTGTTTGGGAGGGGGGGACTGTGAGTGTTAGTGACTGGATAAGAGAAAAAACTTCACATGTACAAGTATACATTGCACGTTTGGAAAGGTTTCACTTACTTCATTTGAATTATTTTTGCTGATGTCTTTTTATAACTGTCTTCTTTGTCACTGCCCACATCCCAATTATATCTTGCTTGGGCTATTGCAGTGGCCTCTGAACAGTTTTCAGAACTGAGATCCTCTAACATCTAAAGTGTTCAGGAAAAATGACGTTTCCCCCCATTGCTCTCCTTGTCTCACCCTTTTTATTGCCAGTTTTAGCTGTCTGCTCACTGACTACCTCTCTCCCTTCTCATATCTGTAGTTCCTGACAGTTTTTGTCAGGAACTATTAGTTCTGTGACAGTAACAGTGTCTTTCTTTGACAAGAATAATAAGGGGAGTGTTTCTTTCCCACTCAATAATAAAACTAGGGCAAGCCAAGAATTCCTGTAAAGACTTAACTAATGAGATAATGCTTTTACATGTATGAATGACACATCTGAAAATGGGCATTGTCAGTTTCTACTATCAGAAAGAAGTTGCTCTTAGGACATGGCCTGGCTTTGGAGGTCTCAGTTTAATTAAATGTCTGTCCTGCAGGATCTGGGTCAATCCTACTTCTGTAGAGACCAAATTAAGTGTAACTTCTTGCCTTCTGAACAAGCAAGACAATCTCTGCCACATTGCACTCAAGGTTGCTCATACTCCATGTAAAATAGAGCACTGGGTGTAACTTGAAAGTCTGGAAAACGCACTCATGCTCTGGTGTTTGCTGAAATTTTAAGAATGGCCTTACTCTCAGTATGCAAGGCCATTAGGTTAGAT